CATACACAGGTGCCAAGGATCCAAGTGCAACCAACCATGACTAGTAATAATCAGATACATACAGATTAGAGATACATGCACCACATCTAAGTGTTACTAAAGGCTAAAACCTCATGTAATTTTATGTCTTACAGAGTTTATACTGAGTACAATATTGTATAACTGTAATAATTTAACCTTAAACCTAAAAATTTACAGCCAATTTTGAAAGAGATGCATCTTAGCTCAGGAAATTGTTATTGAATATGTCAATGCTGTTGTAATGAAATGCTTCTAAGCATGTGGTTATTAAATAAATAATTTTAAAAATTAAAAAAAAGAAAATATGATTTGAGAAATGAGCTTCTGGAAACACAGGCTGCTGCCATTTCTGCTGAGACAGGCTATACCTTGCAGTCAGACCTCACTTTTGGTCCCCACTCCTTATAAATTCAAGGGACAGCCAAAGCACAAGAGAGCTCATCCAAAAACTTAAAGAGATCCAATCATTTCCTTTTTTATTATATTTGGAATGGATCTTGACAGAAGCTTGAATTTCTTTTTGACTTTTGTTTATAAGTCATCAGCCCTACATAGAACTAGCAGAAGAAAGGAATTCCAAGAAGAGAAGCTCTTCAAACGCTTCCTCATTTCTCCAAATTAGCTTAGATTTTGGAGCTGACTTTCTGCCTCATAAAAGTGTTCTGAAGGAATGAAAAATATACTCATATACTCAGACTTCAGCAGTAGACTTAATCAACACTTTCCATAAGCAAATCTGATACTGGTTTATTTTGATCCTGTATAACCAGGGCTTTTGCTTGCACCAAACGTCTCTGAGTCCTTTGAAATGACAGGAATAATTCTCACTGTGTAACAACACAACCTGTGTTCAGTTGCTGTTGATGCTGGCGACAAGGGACTTGTTTGGAAGATTTTTTTTTCTTATGCAAATAGGATCATCTGAAGATATTTTTTCCCCTCCAAACAAGCTAGTGTGAAAAGCAAGCCAACAGTCTGTCAACATAAGAGAGTGAGAGAAAAAGGTCTCGCTAGAGGAGAAAGGATTTTCTTAAGAAAAAAATTAATATTTAACCTTCATTTAAAAATCAAATAGGGGCTGCCACATTCCAAGACCGTCTGTTCTTTTCCAGTTTCCTTAATAGCTCCATCCCTGTGCCTAGTGTAATACTTGATGGATCTTTAAAATTCCAAATTAAACAAAACATGGAAACACTCCTCCCTCATAGCCATCTCATGGAAACACTCCTCCCTCATAGGCATCTCATTGGGACATTTTAACTCCATTCCTTGGGAGACTCATACTTTGTTAAATTACAAAAAAAGGAGGTATATAACTAAATAATGACAATTATTCCCAAAGTCATATAAACTAAAAAAATAATCAAAATCCAATCTAGATATTTTGCCAGGCTGGTTTTCACAAATATTGTCACTTATTTAAAGATACCTTTGCATAAGGCACTGTTATTGTAACTTTATAAGTGAGAAAACTGAGGCTGTAAAGGAAAAATGCACTCC